AATAATAATAATAATAATAAAATATCAAAAAGCTTTAGAATCAGGGACGGTGCCTGTGGCTCAAAGGAGTAGGGTGCTGGCCCCATATGCCAGAGGTGGCGGGTTCAAACCCAGCCCTAGCCAAAAACTGCAAAGAAAATAAATAAATAAAAAGCTTTAGAATCAGAATTTCATGGTTTCACAAACAAGTCAGAACTCATTTCAAATCTTGGTTAGCCTCAACAGGGTTCCAGAATAGAAACAATGAGGAGTGTTCTGAGCTCTATACCCTTTGCTCCCAATAGAGGGCACAAAACATGTGCAGAAGCTGTACCAAATCAAACTCTGCCCTACATCTGACTATTTGGGGGGGGGGGGTCTCTTTCCTAAAAGTTCTGATTATATTGATTCCTACCTTTAACTTTCTTATGAATGAAATGAAAAATATAACTGAGAGCATCAACAGCACACTGACCAAGAAGAAACAATCTTTGAACTGGAAAACAAATTATTTGGAGATATACAGAGGAGAAAAACCAAAAATGAATGAAGAAGGATTATGGGATTCATGAGACAGCATCAAAAGAGCAAATTTTTAAGTTACAAGAATTGAAGAGGATAAGAAAGACACTAAAAGGTAGAAAGCCAATAAAGAAACAATAACAAAGTTTCCACATTGAGAAAAAGATAATTATCCATATACAGGAAGGTAAAACATCTACAATCAAATTCAATCCAAACAGGACTACACTAAGACATATGATAACCAAATAGTCAAAAATCACAAGTTAAAAAAAAAGGAATAAAAGAATATCACTAGAGAAAATTATCAAATCACAGGGAAAAATGTAAAGGAAAAAACAAAGAATAATTTAAAACCAGAAAACAGTAATTAATGAAATGTCAGCAGTAGATTTTACCTATAATTACCCTCCATGCACATGGATTAAATTCTCTTCCAAAGACAGAGAGAGGCTGCATGGGGGTAGGGAGGAGGCACAGTGACATGCTGCCAAGAAGGGATTCACATCACCTTTAAAAGTAAAAGGAAGAAAAAATATTCCATGCAAATACAAACCATACAAACCAAAAGAGAGCTAGGTTAGCTGTATACTTCTATTAGACAAAATAAACTTTAAGTCAAAAACTGTCACAGGAGACAAAGAAGGTCATTATATAATAATAAACAGATCTATTCATTAAGAAGATATAACAATTTTAATATACAACTCACCCCCCCACCTCTTCAAAGGTACTGTATACATGGATTCAACCACTCATAGACTGAAAATATTTGAAAAAAATTGATGGCTGCATCTGTACTGTATGTAGACATTTTTCCTTGTTGTTATTCCCTAAATGATACCATATAACAACTATTTACATAGCATTTACTTTATATTAGGTATTATAGTAATCTAGAGACGATTTAAAGGGAAGATGTGCATAAGTTATATGCAATCTAGAGAAGATTTAAAGGGAAGATGTGCATAAATTATATGCAAAAACTACACCATTTTAAAGGACTTGAACATCTATGGATTTCATTATCCATGGGAGATCCTGGAACCAAGCCCTCATGCAAACAATATAAGTGCACAGAAACATAGGAAGCAAGTTATTAACATTAATAGATCTGAGGATAAAGTCTGTAATACAGTAATAATTCACTACCCTACTTTCAAAAATGGAGAGATCATTCAGACAGAAAATTAAGATACCAGGTGCAGGGGCTCACTTCTGTAACCCTAGCATTCTAGGAGGCCAGAGTGGGTGGACTGCTTGAGGTCAGCAGTTTAAGACCAGCCTAAGCAAGAGTGAGACCCCCATCTCTACTAAAAATAGAAAAGCTAGCTGAGCGAAATGATGTATGCCTGTGGTCCCAGCTACTTGGGAGGCTAAAGCAAGAAGATTGCTGAGGCCCAAGAGTTTGTGGTTACTATGAACTGTGATACCATGCCACTCTACCCAAGGGGACACAGTGAGACTATGCCTCAAAAAAAAAAAAAAAAAGAAAGAAAGAAAATCAATAAAGAAACATTGGGACTTTCACTCAAAATGGCCTTTGGGGGAGAAGAGGCAAGATGGCCAACTGGAGCCAGCTTTCCACAGAGGCTCCCATCCAGAAGAATTAAAGGTCAGAAGTTTCTCAAGTAAGGTGATGGTTTGGAGCTGAGCCAAGAGAGAAAATTGAAGAGTGCACATCACCCCTACTTAGGCAAGCTACGACACCAAGGAAACAAGGGTTACAAACCCCATCTCCAAGCAGACAGGAGTCTCCTCCCCCACAAGAACAACTCATAGTGTACTTTCTACAAACAAGCAAGTGGAGTTCAGATCTCCTCTTATTTTACCCCACAAGAGAGACCAGCTAAAAGCCAAAACTCCTTCCCTAGAGAGAACCCACTTGTGTGCCTTGGCATTCTACCACCAGGCATAAAACTGAACATATACTATACTGGCAATTCTGAACTCCCAGCACTCCCCTCCACTCCCACCCTGAAGTCTGGAAGCCTGTCCACCACCAAGTCCAGACTCTTGGGCAATTTCCTGAGAGTTACGGGCAAGGTGTGTGGGCTGCTACAAGTCTGTGCTGAATCAGCAGCATGGGAGTAAAGCAGGGACTGTGGAGCATGGGAGCTAAGCAGGAGAGGGAGAAATGGTGCCCCAGGGCAGAGCACAGCTATGGCAGTGGAAACAATATAGCTCACAGGAGATACCTGGTGGTATTCTGGAGAAACACTTCCAATCTCTCTTAGCAACCAGAGGAAACTGGGCCTCTACTCTGGGGGCAGCCACGGGTGGAGCAGATGGAGGACAGAAACATAGGGCGCGTGAGCAAAAGGTATGCCTGTGGCGACCTGCCCAGGTCGGGTGTATTGTGGACTGAGATTAGAATACCTGCGCACAGAGGTGGCAAATTCCCAGGGCGAGGCTGCTTTTGTGCCCCAGCAACCAGTGGAGCATAGCCAGTAAAAGAGCGAGTGCGCAGCAGCAGCAGCAGCAGCAGCAGCAGCAGCCCTGGGCGGGGCAGGAACTGAGAGCCTTTTGTGAGCTCTAATCTCGCCCATCCCAACAAAGAGTGCAGCTCTGCGAGAATTGGAGCAGGGCAGGGCTGAATCACAGCTTCTATGAACAGAGCGCATCTGGCCCATGGTGGAATTCAGCAGGGATTCCAAGAGAATATAAGTAGCAGCAGCATCAACCCGGGGCAGGGGTGGAACTGAGCGACACTCCACAGCTTCCATTGAGCACCCAAGGTAGTCAGGCTTCAGCTCCCCCTGCTGGCTGCTGGCAGAGTTTGGCCAAAAACTGAACTTGAATATTTCTAGCTCT